ATACATTTAAATTAATAGAATCCATGAAAATAATTCTTATATATAAATTTGTTAACCCTGCGATGGACTGATGACCCGTCCAGGGTGTACCCTGGCTGTAGGCTCCAGCCCAACGACCAAGAAAAGATGCAGAATTTAATGTAAATCTATTTATTGTCCCACAATAGTCACTCTGTGCATTTAACCCATTCCCTTGGGGAGGGGTGGGCTGCCACTGTGCGGCGCCCGGCGAGCAGTGTGGGGTTAAGGGTCTTGCTCAGGGACCCAGAATGCAGGCTGTGGGGATCAAACCGGGTACATGCAGCTTTCTCAGAGCACAAGCACACTGCTCTAGCCCTCTAAGCCAGGGGTCACCAACACGGTGCCCGAGGGCACCAAGGGGCCCTCAAGGACTTCTGAAACCAGAAAAACTCACTCAGTAGGTTAAGTTTATTTATTTATTATTTTTATTCTGTTGCTCTTCTTTTTAATCATTTACGTATTATTTCATCATGTTAACTATTTCATCATATTTCAGTGGTTTCAAAATGACAATATTAAAAAGAAAATTAGAAATGAATAGAATAAGAATAAAAATGAGTTTTTATGGATGAGATTTACTGTGGGTGAACACTAATCAATCCAGTTCATAGGTCGGTATTGGTAGCCCTTCCTATGACTCAGTAGCCATGAAGTAGCCCTCAGCCTTAAAAAGGTTGGTGACCCCTGCTCTAGGCCAACACTGGGCCAGAAGATGGATTATTTTGGAATTCACCTGCTGAGATGAAAAGGAGGCACCAGGGATGCAAAGCAGGAGCAAGGTGAAGAGAGAGGAGCAGGAAGTCTCTTCTATCAATCTTTACATGTTAGAAGAACTCCAAGCCCTAACCTGGGCCCAGACAGAATAATGGCAAAGCAGCATTATGTGGTTTGCTTAAATATGGCTTCTTTCTGCCAGGCCATACAAGCAGACAGAGATATTAGTTAGTAGCACAGGAGCACCACAGGGGGCGGTACTCTCTCCACACCTTTTTCTATGTTCACCTCTGACTTCCAAGACCAGACAGAGTCCTGTCATCTGCAGAAATACTGGGATGACTCTGCAGTCATTGTGTGCGTCAAAGATGGACCAGAAGCTGGTTAACATTTTTGTGGAATGGTGTAGAAACAATCGTCTGATCCTGAATTTCAACAAAACAAGGAGACAATTGTAGATTTAAGAAGAAACAGGAACAAGTTGAATCCTGTTAACATCCTGGGTCAAGAAGTGGAGGTGGCGAAGGAGTAGGTGTTCACCTGGACAACAAACCGGACTAGAGACACACATGTGAAGACGTCTCCAAGAAGGGACAGAGCAGACTGGACTTCTAGAGGAAGCTTAGGTCCTTCAGATGCTGCAGATCTGCTATCAGTCTGCTGAGGAGACTCTGATCTCTTCCTCCATCATCTGCTGAGCAGAGATGGGAAGTAACGAAGTACAAATACTTCATTACTGTACTCAAGTAGATTTTTCTGATATTTTTACTTTACTTTACTACTTATTTTTATGGCGACTTTTTACTTCTACTCCTTNTTAATAGCAGCAAGTGCAGGATAAATAATGCTTCCATAAATACAGGACATGGGTTTCTACTGAATGAGTATAGAGGTGAATACTATTATAAATAATGAATATAATATATAGATCACTAGTGTTATGAACTAAATTTACAGCTGGATATGTACCGAATATAATATACAGGTGGATATTACTATAAAAAGAAGGTTTTTACAGTTATGTACAATAGAATATATACAGATGTGTTTTACTATAGAATTAATAGATAAAGTTTGGACAGAAGCTATCTAAATTAAAGTTCAGTGGAAGGTAATTGCATATTACAGTTAAAGTACGTTATTGCAAATGTATATGTAAATGTATGGTGGTGAACATCCTTGTGGAATGGTGTAGAAACAATCATCTGATCCTGAATGTCAACAAAAAAGGAGATGATTGCAGAATTCAGAAGAAACAGGAACAAGTTGAATCATGTTAACATCATGTGAAAAGAAGTGGAGGAGTAGAAATCCCTTGGTGTTCACCTGGACAACAAACCGGACTAGAGACACACCTGTGAAGCCGTCTCCAAGAAGGGACAGAGCAGACTGGACTTCTAGAGGAAGGTTAGGTCCTTCAGATGCTGCAGATCTTCTATCAGTCTGCTGAGGAGACTCTGATCTCTTCCTCCATCATCTGCTGAGGTAACAGCATCAGAGCAAATGACTGAAAGAAGCTCAACCTGCTGATAGAGAAGGCCGATCTGTTCTAGTAACTCCTCTAAAACCTCTGGAGGTGATTTCACAGAGAAGGAAGAAGATGATGGATAACAGGGTCTTCTCCCGATTTGGTGCAAGACAGAGCTCTACAGGAGAAGCATTCTGCCTAATACTGCCTAAGTAAAATAAAACACTGTGCATGGGTTAGGCTTTAGGAGTGTTATCACTGGTCCTACATCCCAGCAGCTGTTAAGACTTTAGAATCATCACTGCTCCAAAGAAACAGAAAAAGTTTTTTTCCTGCTGTTGTTTATGTAGAATTAAACATGCATATTTTGTGTTTCATTCTTTTTACTACCAACCCAATATTGAACAGTCTCTTGGTCTTACTGTCTGTGTTTATATTTTTACCTTTGAATGTATCTGCATGTTTGCTGTTTTACTTTGCTCATATCTCCCAAATAAGGGTTAGGATTTATCAAAACTTAGGATAAAGAAGTAGAAATTAAAATAAATGGTTAAAGAAATACACAGACATATAAATTCAATTCAATTTAGTTTATTTATATACCGCCAATTCACAACACGTCATCTCAATGCATTTTACAGTTCACCAGATCATGCAGTCAAATTGATTCAAAGTTTTCTATCTAAGGAAAACCAGCTGATTGCATCGACTCATTGACTCTTCAGCAATCCTCACACTAAGCATGCTTGTAGCGACAGTGGAGAGGAAAAACTCCCTTAACAGGAAGAAACCTCCAGCAGAACCAGGCTCAGTGTGAGCGGCCATCTGCTGAGGCCCACTGGGGTTCAAGGAGACAGAAGCAGATATGCAGAAAGCAGCTGTAAAGGGTGGCCCACACAGAGGATGAAGAGAGCACATCCAGTCAGTCACAGTCAGAGAAACAGGACTACACTGGAAAACAGGCCGATCTCCAACATCTATAAACAAAGGCGTTGATGGCAGCAGCACAGTTGATCATTCTCTCCAGGATGGAGTCACAGCCAAACAGGAACAGACCAGATGAAGCTACTATGAGAAAAAGTAGAGAGAGCAGAACTTTAGAGATTGAATTAACAGATTCTGCAGAGTGGAAGAAAAGAGAGAATGAGGCAGAATGGTAAAAAAGGGTTTCTACGTCCTCCAACAGACTAAGCCTATAGCAGCATAACTATAGAGATAGCTCAGGATAACCTGAGCCACTCTAAGCTTTATCAAAAAGGAAAGTTTTATATTCGTGTTTGATAATGACCAGGCATCTATTGCTCACACCCTTTTGTTAAAGACTCTTTTCATGGGTCTAATCACACAGGTTTCAAACAGGTGTGTCACACAGACTCTCTTTTATGCTTTCACATAAAGTCATGATCGCCCACTAGTGGACCTACACATAGCAGAATGCAGAATGATGAAAAATGGGGTCCCTATGTCCTCCAGCAGTCGAAGCCTACAGCAGCATAACTATAGAGGTGGCTCAGAATAACCTGAGCCACTCTAACTATAGGCTTTATCAAAAAGGAAAGTTTTAAGCCTAGCCTTAAAAGTAGACATGTCTGCCTCACGGACAACACCCAAATACAAATACAGGGCTGTCAACTCTCACCCATTGGGAGAGAGACTCACCCCTCTCAGTGTTTTTAAACAAACTCACTCCATATTTCCAATTTCTCACACAATGACGGACATTAAAACTCAACTATGTTTCACTCATTTCAGAATCAGAATTATGGTATAAAAATACCATGGTGATCAAAATCCAGTCCGTGTTTTTAATGCAACCTTAGTCCTAACAACCACAAGAACCATGTTTTGCTCACGAGTTAAATAATTATTGCTCAGTCTAGTTGAATAATCTCCCGCTGGCATTTAGGAGTAATTAAACCAAAACAAATATTTTAATTCTTAACGCTTCCAGGTTTGCCTCTCAAACCCATAGGAGCTCCACAAAAAGAAAAAGAACCATTGCATTTTATTTTTCAAAACATCAGCCACCAAAGAAAAGACCAAGCACATACAGAGAGGATGCGCAGAAGAACTCATTTATCCTAGATTCATAGAGGAGAAACCACAGGAATGTTCTTCTTTTATTATTACTTATCTTATTCATTTCTCTTTATTTTGGTCCATTGAATATGTTTAAAAACTTAATTTCCATCACACTTTCCAAACTCAAACATCCAGAGAAGTGCTTTTCGCTCTCATGGTGAGATTTTATCATATCTACACCTCCTAGAAGGTCTGAATTGTTTAGCCGTTTTGATAGCCAGATTGATTGTAACTAATAACATAATGAATGAAGATTTTTAAACCTTAGCTTATTACCAAATATTCAGACACAGTGAAGTTTGCATAGGTTTCGAATTGCACTGGTTAATGTATCAGTGCCAGTAATCCAGTTTATTAGTTCCCTATTGTTTAATTTACTTGAAATGCAGAGAATAAATAATGAGCAAAGTTGTGAAATTCTTAATTTAAAGTATATTTAAGATGCAAGTATTTTAGTTCTACTTTACTTCAATTCTCTAAAAATCACCAGAATGTAGAAAATAATTTATATTGTGAGAAAAATGTTCCACATAACTACAGACCACTTATTGTTACTAAGTAACATTTACTGTGCTATAAATATCCCACATTCTGACACTTTGTTTCAGTTAAATCCTCTGAAAACCTCCAACCTATAGCTGCACCTATCCTCATCTAACCCTGACAGGGTTTCCTGTCCAAACTATTTTAAAATCTCACCCCAAGATTTGGTTAAAAAAAAATAAATAAATAAAAAGTTGGCAGCCCTGCAAATACTACGGAAGAGGATTAGGAAAAAAGTTTGCTGATTTTTTAATTTTATTTCAGTTTAGTATGGGGAAAAAGTCAGAATTCTGACTTTAATCTAAGAATTCTGACTTTAATCTCAGAATTCTGACTTTTTTTTCTCAGAATTCTGACTTTTTTCTCAGAATTCGGACTTTTTTCTCAGAATTCGGACTTTTTTCTCAGAATTCGGATTGAATTCTGACAATAAAAAAAGTCAGAATTCTGCGATTAAAGTCAGAATTCTGAGATTGTTAAACTAAAATAAAAATTAAAAATCAGTTAACTTTTTTTTTTTCAGTGGCCCTAATCCTCTTTAATAATTCAAGTAAAATAAAAAAAATATTCCAAATTAAACCCCAGAAAGAGCAATAATGCTTATAAACTAACCCGCGGCGCTTTTATAGTCGGATTAGAAAGAATTAAAACACTTTTGGACCGAGCTTTGTGTGTTCTGGTCTGGTTCTGCTGTGATCAGAACCTTCTCACCACCTCTGGAGCGTAAAGATGTTTGTTTATGCTGCACTACTTTAGGGTGTGCATCCGACTAAGAGAGAAAAAAAAACACATTATAAATGTATTTCATTTCCTTTTGCGTGACTGATAAGAAGAAAGGAAGTCCCCGGTGTCCACTCCCCGTGTCACTGTGGAAAATTCACGCAGTGTTTCGTGGATCACTCAGGACTGCTGGTACATTTCAGGGATCTATTTTCTGTCAGGGTTGTGATGCGGCACCCTCTCGCCCGTGCCAGGCCGCCATCTTGAATTTTAATGTTAATTTTCAAAGAAAAAACAACAATAATGTGTTTGCTGTGATATTTTTATCCCGGGTGTCGTGGCGGATCTGGATGAGGACTGTTGTTTCGTTTTGGCATTTTCTTTTCTCTACCAGTACTATTGTGAGTATTTCCGCGTGTCGTGGACATTTAAACGCGTGGAAAGCTCTCTGCTAGCAGGTACCGTGAGGAATAATCGTTCCGGGACTCTCGCTGCCTCTTGCTTCCGCTGGAGGCTCGCTCACCTCGGCTGCAGGCTGCCTTTAACCCTCTGGAAGGAAGAGTATTAGCCAATGGAGCTAAGGCTAACGGAGCATCCGGAGCTAAAACAGTGAGTCGGTGTCCTGGAACTGTGGATCGGGACACAGCTCGGGCTTAGCTGGGTTCCGAGGACCCAGAAGAGTCCAGATTCTAGATCGGATCAAACATTTATTGATTTTATTGGGTTTAAAATGAGAACTACGTCGATGAGGTTGGATTAGCATCCTGCTGAGGCTGCAGCTAGCAGGCTGGGGGTATTACGTGTTCTTTTACGGATCTTTAAATCGGTTTATTTGGACCCTGGGTGTGTTTGGTGAGTCGGGATGCTCAGCCGGGAATTATGGGATAGTTTCTGGGACCACAGCTCCTTTGATGCGCATTAATGCCGAGCCGGCCAGACAGCCCTGGAAGTATACCTCTGGCAGTGGTTCTCACGGTTGCTGGTTCGAAACCGGCCCTGCATGTCAACAGAGTCGGCCTCGGCCGTCGGTGTGGCCTTCCGGGTTCCCACAGCCTCATTATCCTGATCGGAATGCTGTTTGTTTTGTGCTAACGTTAGCCGGGGATGCTAACAACACGGAGGCTACAGAGTTTACAATAGCAATTAAGTAACTGTTTTGCCGCGTTGGTGCTTTAGAAACTCAAACTCTGAGTAATTCGACCATATAAACTTTAACAAAGCGGCATTTAAATAATGCTTTACAGTAAAGAGGTCTGTTCACCTGACAGCTGCTGCAGTCCTTTAGGTTACCATGTGGGGGCGCTGTAAGAGCCCCTAAAACAATCATGCATCATAACTGGCATGATTAAAAACAAAGTTTTCCCTGACATGAGCAATCACTGTGTTAAAACGAGTAAGCAATTGCAGTTATACTTTAATTATTACTTTAATTGTTATTATTACTTTATTGTCATGAACAAACCATGTTTAAGAAGAGCAGCCATTGGGCGCACAAATGTTGTTTCCCAAGATCCTCATATATCTAAATTATTTAAATCCAGTGCTAATTGTACAGCATATTTGTACCCTGAATGAAAACTTGGTGCCTATAAATAAATACAAGCATTAGTAAATTAATTGTAGGCAGTGATATATTTCAGATTAGATCACTTCACCACAGATGTTTTGTTAGCTGAAAGCTAACCCTTAAATGGCAGACCTGGTGAGAAGGCTGGTCCATGTTGTTCTGATCAATCCGATCTGATGAAACCCTTCAGAAAGTTGCCAATCATCTGCTAGCCAAACATGGTGCTTGTTTTTTCCTCCACCTTACAGTTTCCTGGTGTTGATGTCAGAAAATCACAGTAAATGTTCAGTTTCCCCATAGGGCTCATTTAACAGAGCAGCTTAATGCTAATTCTAGGTATTGGTGCAGCTAAAAGGCTGCAGCAGTTAGGGTTACCACTAGGGGGAGCAGCTGGGCCAGCTCAGATCTAACCAGTGAGTTGCTTCTCTGAATGGGACTGTTTTCAGGGTGTCAGGAATTGGGACCAAATCCAGAATCCAAGTGGAACCACTTGATCAGTTTCCCTTATAAGGACAAATGATCTTTTTCAGCTTATAAAGAAAAATATGTTCAGTTTAGAAAAGCAGTAGAATATGTTTCTTCCTTAATAGATGTCATAAATATTAGCAGATGATCCTCGATTCAGATTGTGGGGTTTTTCACTTTTGTTTTCTGTTCTCCAGATTTCTCACTGCAGAGGCCACCTTCCCCACTCAAAAGCACCCCTTAATCTGAGTGACTAAATGAAACTGGAGCAGGGGGCTTGTGGGCATGAAGTGGCTGGGCGAATCCAAGAACATGGTATTAAATGGCAGGCGACACGGGAACAAGTTGACCAGCGAGCAACAAGTGAGCCAGACTCGCTCCCAGCATCCGCCACGGACGTCGCTGCGCTACGGCAAGGGCCACCCGAAAAACCGCAGATGTAGCCGCCGTGAGTTCAGAGCCGCAGCCAATCGGTGAATTGTGATGGAGTTAGGAAGCTGACGTGGGATGTTTGTGGTTTTTTCAGGGTGTAACGGTGCCAGTCTGGAGGCCGAGCGTCGCTATGTCCCGTCCTCAGGGATGACCGCCAAGGAGCTGTGTGAGAATGACGACCTGACCACCAGCCTCATCCTGGACCCCTATCTGGGCTTTCAGACTCACAAAATGAACACAAGGTGGGCTGGACCTTCACCGCAGTGGAACATGTTTGCTGCAGCGTAATGTCATTGGTCATCGACGGCTTTTTTTAATGTTACCATACAGGTTTCGGCCCATCAAAGGAAGGCAGGAGGAATTGAAGGAAATCATCGAGCGCTTTAAAAAACACGATAACTTGGAGAAGGCTTACAAAGCTCTGACCACAGGAGACTGGTGCCGGAACCTTTTCCTCCACAAGTCCAAGGCTCAGGAGAAGCTCTTCAGGCAGCATGTAAACACTCCAGGCAGCGCGTCTCTGGTTTTCTCTCCGCTGACGGAGGCGTCTGCCCCACCAGCTCTAACCCGTTTGTCTCCTGCAGGTGTTTGTCTACCTGCGGATCTTCACGGCGGACAGCGGTTTTGAGATTCTTCCATGTAATCGTTATTCATCTGAGCAGAACGGAGCCAAAATCGTGGCCACCAAAGAATGGTGAGTTCCTCCTGATCTGCAGGTCTTCTGTCGACTGGCCGTTCGGGGCGCCGTACTCTGTGGATGAATCTCACCTCCCTGGCTGTTCTGGGTTTCTCAGGAAAAGAAACGATAAGATCGAGTTCTTGGTGGGCTGCATCGCCGAGCTGTCGGAGAGCGAGGAGAACATGCTGCTCCGGCACGGAGAGAACGACTTCAGCGTGATGTACTCGACGCGAAAGAACTGCGCTCAGCTGTGGCTGGGCCCGGCTGCGTTCATCAATCACGGTACGCATCGTTACCTGCAGCCCCGTTCTAAACTAACATCCCATAATCTCACTAAAAATGGGCTCTAATTTCCCTTTTCTTTTCTCTCAGACTGCCGGCCGAACTGCAAGGTAGGCTGCTGGAAGCTCTCTGCTACATCTGCAGGTTTTAAAAGGGTTTTAAAGAGTTGTTTTTTGTTCAGTTTGTGTCGACGGGACGAGACACGGCCTGCGTGAAAGTCCTGAGGGACATCGAACCAGGAGAGGAAATCTCTTGTTACTATGGAGATGGATTCTTTGGGGAAAACAATGAGTTTTGTGAATGTTATACATGTGAAAGGTGAGCATCACAAATGTTAGCATTTTAGAGGCACTCGTGTGCGACTCCAGTCTCAGCATCTCCTCTCTACTCCAACACACCTGACCTCTGGGTTAAACACTCATTTCATCTTCTTTAACCTCACTGGTTGCAAAAAACAGGGGAAAAAAGTCAGGAACCTGACTGGAAATAAACTCCAATTCTGAGGCAGGAAGAAGGAAAGTAACAGTGTGTTTGTTTCCTGCAGACGAGGAACCGGCGCTTTTAAGTCCAAAGCTGGACTGCCGGTGGAAGTTCCGGTCTTCAACAGTAAGTATGGGCTGCGGGAAACGGACAAGCGGCTCAACAGGCTGAAAAAGCTCGGAGAAGGAAATCGGAGCTCAGACAGTCACTCTGTGGGCTCCCACACCGACGTCGACTCTCAGGAAATGCCAAATACACATCAATGTAAGAGCTGAGGATTGTCCTTAGTCTTTTTCTCACTAGAGGTCACTGTGGGTCACACGTCTGTTTTTTTTCCCAACAGCTGCCAGAAACAGAACGTCGTCATCTTCATCATCAGGCCTGAAATATAAAAACAGGACTCAAAGCAGGCAGACTGGGTCCCGAGCCCTTCCTACCTCATGCTCCAAACCGGCTCCGGGAACCAATCACAGGGTACCAAAGAGACTAAGATCCCAGTCCAAGCCTTCTCCCAGTAAGGTCCAGCTGCGGAGCCGTAGGAGGGGCTCGGCCGCCCGCGGAGAGGCTGCTCATCTGGGACTCAGGGACTCCAAGGTGGCGCCGTGCAAAAGCGTCACTGTGAAGAAAGAGAAGGACGGCCCGGAGCCGGCGCCGCTCGGCCAGAGGGGCTGCCTGACCCGGCACGCTGCCAAGGAGAATGGCAGTCTTCCGGCGCTGCAGAGCAGCACCGGCAGTCAGTGCTCCATGTACAGAACTCGCAGGTCCACTCGGACCCTGATTAAGACCCCGGAGCCGACTGCAGGGGCCAAGCTGGAGCCCAGCGCTATGGATGGGTTGAGCCCTGTCCCCGGGGGTGTGGTCATCAAAACGGAGCCTGCAGACATGGACGAGTACCTCCAGCACGGAGCGGGCAGCCAGCAGCCGGTTTTGAGCACCGGCTACGCCAGGAGGGGCTCATGTTCGAGCAGGAAGCGTCCGGCGCGGCTGCGGACCGAGCGGACCATTAAATGCGAAGGCTCCGACTGTGAGCCGTTTTCTCCCGGAGCTGCGGGACACGCGGCGAACTTCTCGGACGGCGGGAACCTGCTGCTGAGTTTCGCCGACAGACACAGGGACTACAACGGCGTCGCCAACGGCAGCAAGTCCCTTCGCAGGGACAAGAGCAAGAGCGGCTGCCGCTCACAGGACAAGGTGAAGAAGAAGCGTCGGATCACGCGCTACGACGCTCAGCTGATTCTGGAGAACAGCTCTGGAATCCCCAAACTGACGCTCCGCCGGCGGAGGGACAGCAGCAGCAGCAAGACCAACGACCCCGCCGACCACGTGGGCTCCTCCACCGTCAGTCCCGCCTCCTCCAGCAAAATCAGCATCAAATTCAGCAAAGAGCACGACAAGGACAAAGGAGGCTCTTACATCGCCAAGCTGAACAACGGCTTCGGTCCTGTCGTCCACGGCAACGCCACCAAGCTGAAGATCCAGCTGAGGAAGGAGGAAGACGCCCGGAGGGTCCACCACACCAACGGGGATATGGTCCAGGGCCTGGAGAGCCGGATCGGCGCCCACCGCACCCAGAAGAGCCTGGCAGAACCTTCGTCGGATGAGGATGAGGAGGAAGAGGAGGATGATGATGATGACGACGACGACGATGATGATGATGACTACTTCCACAACGAGTTTGAGGACGACTTCATTCCACTTCCTCCAGCCAAGCGGCTCCGACTCATTGTGGGGAAAGACTCCATAGACATCGATATCTCCTCCAGGAGGAGAGAGGATCAGTCTCTGAGGCTGAACGCCTGAAACTTCCCGAAAGGAAGTGACCTAAAACTCAATCATGATAGATCAGAATAAAGTTGCTGTCAACCCGAAGCAAAACTCTGCTCCTCACTGAACTTCCAGTCTGTCGTTGGACCGGAACCAGAACCAGGACCTGCTCCGTTCAGTCCGACAGTCTGGGATGAAAGCAAAGACCTGCTTTCTTTTAAGGGAACGCACTTGTTCTACTTCATCATGGACGTGTAGAAAGTGTACAGTTTGGTGACAGCGCCCTCTGTCTGCCCGGCAGGTTTTAGTCTCTTAGTGTCTGTGTGAAGCCGTCTATCCAGAGGCATTAGAGCATCAGCTCACCCTTCTGCTGCCATGTTCTCATCAGCGGCGTGGCGAAGCAGATAAGTCGTTTAAAACGAGGCCATTAGGTTCAGATCATGTAGAAGAAGTTTTAAGGAGCCGCTTCTGTTTTTAGGACCATCCGGATAGATTCCTGTTCCCTGCAGGTAGATGTGAATCCTTTTTAAAGACCCATCAGTGAACAAGCAGAGCTGCTTCCTTCTCCATGATGAGAACGTGGCTCAGCAGAACTGGGTCGCCACAGGAGCTGGTGTTTGAATCTGAAGCTAATGTACAGAACGACCTCTTCCTGTCCCCCAGCTGACTCATCTCTCCCAGACTCCATTCACCCAGCTCAAAGCAAATGAAGTGGCGTTCACTGACACTACGGTCTGTGTAGAGTTATGTTCTCTCTTCTTCTGTGGTGCTACTTAGTTTTCCGGAGCTGCAGGAGGACTGTGGCTTAAGTCTTCGGGGGAGCTGAAGCAACCCATTTACAGGAAGTTGTCTTCAGTTCTTCAGACGGCTGATCAAAGCTTTCTCTGACATCATCTCGCCGTCTCCTCCCTGCTGAGAGGCAGAGCGAGCTGATTGGTCAGCAGAGCGAACCACCCTCCTCCTCCGTCGGCGTTTTCCTCCTGGTGGGACGAGCTGGGAATGTCGACCCGTTTCTGTGTAACTGTTCACATCACCAGCAGCTAATCGGCACCCCGCCCCCTCCTCCCTCGGCCAATCGGACGTCTCCCTTCCACACCCACTGTAAACTATTCCAGGTATCAGTGTGTCCGTGTCCAATAGACCGCCGTCACAACTTCCAGTGAATTCAAACACGTGTGAATAGCTGAGACCTTTTATTTAGCGTGCTGCGTGGGTAGTGGGAAACATGTAAAGAGAAAGATGGACAGTGCATATATTGTCCAATATGTAAATCATGTGAACACATCTTGTACTTATTTAACAGTTTTGAATACTTGAAAACTATATAAAATTTCTTTGTGAATCCTGTTTCTGAGCCTGTTTCTGTTCCAGCGGATCATTTTCTAGCCGTCGCTGGTTGAGCTCAACTTTCAGATTATCAAAGAAAGGTTGAGTAATAACACAAGGATTAAAGGGAAACTATTAGTGATGGGTTATTGAGGTATTTTGAAGCATTTCTACACATTACTAAACTGTATTGATGCTGTCTTAGAATACTGACACCTGCTGGACCTTCAAAGATACTACAGGCAGCTTATTTGACAGACTGAGCTGAATTGATTTGATGACCTGGTACAGGTGTGGGCAATTCCAGTTCCTGAGGGCCGAAACCCTGCAACTTTTAGGCTACGTTCACACTGCAGGCCTTGATGCTCAATTCCTATTTTTTTTCCAATTATATGCGGCTTGTATGCGATCTCCTGTGTGAACTGCAATCATTGAACTCAAGTGTCCTGCATGTGCAGTAGATGACACAATGACATCACAAGCAAGTGTGCTCTGTGTTTACAGAAGTAAACATGGATGGTAGAGCTGGAGAACATCTAGCGATCTTTCTCAACCTTAAAAACTCAATCTTTTCAAGATGGTTAAATATAAATACTGCTCTCCATATTATCACCCACCATTGTTGTTTTCTTGCCACTTCTGTGTATCAAGAGGCAGAATAGTGACCTTTGACAGGTATTAATGGCGTTCAGGTCGGTTGAATGCAACCTTTGAAAAGATCAGATTCATATCGGATTCAGGACCGCAAGAGCCAAATGGTCTGGGTCGCATTTGAAAAAATCGGATCTGCGTTGTTCAGACTGACATGAAAAGATAAGGGCCAAAAAAATCAGATTTGGGTCGATTCATGCTGCCGTGTGAACGCAGCATGAACACACCTGAATCAAGTAGCTAGATGATTGACAGGACTGGAGGAACTGACTATATACTGAGTCTGACTATACTGAGTATTCAGCCTTTTGATTCAGGTGTGTTGGACAAAGGGTGGATCTTAAAGTTGTAGGAACTGGAATTGCCCACCCCTGACCTAGTAAAATGATATAAAGGTTATATTATTCCATATCTATGTTTAAATATAATATATTTTTAGATGCAGCCAAAAAAAATTACGTGAACATATATGATAACGTGATGTGAATGAGAATGCTTGTGAACTAGGTTTCTAAGTCATAATTTTAAAGCAATAAGTACAGGGAAATCTAAGGAAGAGGATTAGGGCCACTGAGGAAAAAAAAAAAAGTTACCGGTAACGGATTTTTACATTTTATTTCAGTTTAATATGGGGAAAAAAGTCAGAATTCTGACTTTAATCTCAGAATTCTGACAGGTAACAAACATGCTAGCATCAAGCCATAGCCATGTGTGTTTTAGAGACTAGCTCTCTTGTTTTAATGACCTTCTGCTCCTCCATTAATGAGGGGACCCCTCGGGCACGTAAAAAGTTGCCTAATTCTGTCATTTTCCACCAATGTGTTGTCGTGGATATCCTCCAAACCACGTAAAAATTTATGTTAAGTCTTATAAAAATTCAAAGTTCTTAAAAAGCAGTTGAAAAGTCTT